TATATATATATATATATATATAATTTATGATATTTTAAAAAAAATTAAATTTTATAAATTATAATATATAATAAATTAATAATAATAGTATATTAATATACTATAGTAGTAATATATTAATATATATATATATTATATATTTATATAATATAAGTTATATAATTAATATATAATATTATTTTTATATATTAATATTAGAGATATCAAATTGGCTCGTCGTTTGCGAACAGCTCGTGTTTGGTTCGTGTTCGGCTCGTTCGTTAAGAAACGAACACGAACACGAACACAAACTTTGTTCGTTCGTGTTCGGTTCGTTTACACCCCTACCTACAAGTGATGTTGTTTTGTTTGGAAAAAGTATATGCATAGCACTCAATTCTTGTGTATTTATATATCTCACACCTAAACTAAATAGTTACATGAATAGCATTTGATGGTGAATATGCTTTGAATTTTAAATAGTTGACAAAATTAATATTTATGACTGAAAACTTTCTGCCTTACATCCTCAACACCTGAATTTTCTTATTTACATTCTCAAAACAGCAACTCCCCCGTTATTGCCATCCAATCGGTGCACAGTTCATTGTGGCTCACTGTCTTGGTCAACAAATTTCAGAAGAAGCGCGTCTATTACGACGGCGAAATTCACCATTTTTAAATCGCGAGCCCGTCCCTCCGTTCCAGGTTCCAATCACGTTCCTTCATTTCAGTCTCGAAGTTCTCCATTGTGCCTCTTTAGTTGTTCTTGACTCGTCAGTTATTCAAACATCCATTGTAGTTTTCAAATTGTGAGTTTTAATGGTGTTTTTTGGACTATAGAACATTTTACATCCGGACTCCTGATGTCCGGACAATTGCCCGGATGTTGCGAGGAGGGCGGGGGTACGATTCCTCCCCTCCTCCGTTGCATCCAGACCGTTGTCCGGACTTTTGAATTTCTGATGTAAATTTTTTTTCCTCGGACTATAATTTTCAATTGAAATTTATTTTGAATGATAACGTGAATGAGCCCGAAGTGGTACTCATGTAAATATTAAAATTTAGATGTAAAGGATGTAAAACAGAAAATTTTAAGTGGGCTCATATAACAAACTCATATATAAAGTATTTTTCTCAGACCTTTTTTGCCCTATAATTATTGATCTGCCCGACTGAGCTCGTGCTGGGGTCTACTTGTACAAGAGATTGTGCTTGTTTATTGAGGGCAAGTCAGCGTAGAAAAAAATGGTAACTTCGTTATAGTGAATTCATAATATTTAAAGCTTGTTAACATGACACATACGATTGCAATTTTCTTAAAATTGACTGCATTGTACCTTTTATTTATTTTTATATAAACCGTTGAATCTGAATTCATCAGGAATCGTGGCTCGGATTGATAAGAAAAGGTAAAAGAGAGATATAGATAATAATGCACTAAAATGACCATTAATAAGGGGTAATTTTATTTTTCTTGGGCATTTCCAACTATTCAATTCATAGAATGATCCCATTTAATAAAGAAAGGGTGTAATATCTAAAGTTACATTATTTATGATATTTTACATATATGAACTTGTCATCTGATTAATTTCTGACTCGACTGGCTAAGCTTAATTGACTTTGGGTCGGCTCGATCGGTTGAGCTGAGTCAGTCAATCAGGTCGGGTCGATCATCCAGGTCGTGGGTCGTCTAGGCTACGAGTCATCTAGGTTGTGGGTCGTCAATACTGTGGGTCATTCAAGCTAGGAGTGGTTTGGCTACTGGTCGTTCAGGTTGTGGGTCGTTCAGATCGTAGTGGTGGGTTGCGATGACGTTTGTAAGCTTCAGAGGCCGGAGTCGAGAGCAACATGAGTTGTGGACCACATTGACAATATTTGATCGCGTATGATGTAGTGTTGAGTTGTGATGACGTCAGTAAGTCGTAAGGGTCAGAGTCAGGAGCTTCACGATATATTGACCATAGAGGTCATAGTTGTTCACACAGGCTGTTGTGCTGAGCTATGATGACGTTTCTAGGTCGTAGGGGTCGGAGTCAAAAAGTGCATGACTTTGGGGCAACATGGGTCGTAGTACGTCATGTAAGTCGTAGCGGTGCGTTGTGATGACATTTGTATGTTACAATGGCCAAAGTTGGGAGCTGCACGAGTTGTGGACCACACAAACCATAGTTGGTCAGGTCATAGTGGTGTGTTGTGATGACGTTCGTAGGTCACAAAGGTTGGAGTTGGGAGCTACACAAGTTGTGGACCAAGTAGTATGTAGTTGGTCACATAGGCCATAGTGGTGGGTTATGATGGCGCCTATAGGCCGCAGGGGTTGGATTCGAGAGTTGTACGAGTTGTGGACCAAGTAGAGCATAGTTGGTTATGTAGGTCATAGCAGTGGGCTGCAATGAGAGATCTTTAAGAGTCCATAGAAAATCATTGTCCTCATGGTATGTCGTTGCACCGTATGTAGGATATGTTATTACACCGTAATCAGGGTGTTACTGAATAGTATTCGGGAACCATTTTTTTAGAGGAGACGCTGCTCATATGTTATGTGCATTATTACACTGTCATATGGGTGTGTCGTTCCATTGTATTTGAGGAGCAATGTTAGATCATCTTTGGGAGGCGTCGTTGCACCATATGTGAGGTGTTTTGTTGCAGAATCTTATAGGTTAGTATGATGTTTGAGATAATGCGTTGCTTAACTGTTGCTTTTTTTATTCCATGACATCATTTTATGCTTCACGAGATACTTTATCGTAAGGAGTGAGCGGCGACCGATGAGCTGTGGTCGGTGATAGTTGGAGGCTGTAGGGCAGAAGGTGTTTGTCTAATTATCGGCGAAGGGTCTTAACCTTTAGCTCCCTTTTCTCCAAGCTCTGATCTTACTCTTGCTCGGGATCACCTCCCCTCCTCAAATAAAGGGAGAGCTCTATTTATAAAGTCCGGGATAGACCTCTCTGCAAATGAGGAAGAAATTTGATCCACTCCATCGAATGGTTTGTAGAGATCCACTTGATCGAATGTCATTTGATGTACATTTGAGTTCCTTAATGACGTTAGAATTAAACGATATTAGGCTTCTTAAATTTGTCTTATTGAGACGCTCGATCTAACTATAAGCTTATCGGATTCAAAATCCATTTGATATTCCAATTTTGCTTGGAAAGCTTCCAAAGGTTATTTAAAGGCTTGATTTGACTCAGATTAGGCTTGTTTCAATATCATTGAGTCGTCTCATTGAGCCAACCACTTTGATCGTAAGTTTGTCAAAATCAAAGTCTTGGATGACTTTTAATAGAAGTTTGAACATAAATTTACCTTGAAATCAGAGTCGCGCTTCAAAATTTGTCTCAGATGATGGAAATTTGTTGATGGTGTATCGGGTGTGTTTTCGACGTGTTTTTTTAGATGGAGTTATATAAAAACTCAGTTTAAAAGTTGTTGTGAAAAATCTGTTGTTTAAATGCTGTTGTTCAAGACATAGTAATTCTATTTGAAAACTCGGTTTTGGAAGTGTTATCTATAGATAAATGTCTAAAATAACAATATGCTCATATTCAATTATACTTTATTAAACAAGTAGAAATTTAAAAGTAAACTCAATGTTAAATGTTCTACAAGAACTTGCTTATTTGTACCTACATGATACCATAGTAAACAATGACTAGCTGAAAACCACAGCAATCCCACAACCAAATGATCATCTTGCCCATCCCATACAAACGATCAAACTATTTTCTACTGAGATCTAAGAAAGGGTGTCATCAACCAAACACCGAGGCACTGCAATAATTAGAGCGGGTGCGATGCATCCAAAAGCGCAGGTGGAATGCAAAACGCGAGACACAAGCCATAGTTATAATATTATGAAATTTTGTGTTGTAGTTTTAACTGCAATCCACTAAACATGGGATCCACCAACGCGGTCCAAAGCTCCAGCCGAAAAACCGAAACAACGACACCCTAAATTTGGGTTGGTGTTTTATCATAAATTTTTATATCTAAGAGAAAATTTGAAAAATAAATGAAAGAGAATGCTGGATTTGTTAATAGCAATGTTTCAGGTGCTATGCATTGTAATTGCCCTGCAATTTAATTGATTAATCAAAGAATATACTTTTATTAGGAGTCATGTAGGCATATATCATCACCATCATTAACTACTTTATTAGGATTGATAAAATTTAATAAAAGTCCATAAGGATAAATTTAATGGCAATGGTGATATGTGAAAGCGAATAATAATAATTATTATTATTATTATTTTCAAGTTGAGATCTTTCATACAACTGCATCAGATAATAGGGAAATTTATATAAGTGGCACACAAATCTTTTGTTTTTGCATACCCACTCCAAAACATTCATATTTATATACATAACACTTTGGCATTTTAAAATTATGTATGAAAAATATATAATTCATTTTAAAAGAAATGATAATAGTCTAATTTTTTAAATGATATTAAAAAAATTAAAATTATATCTGTAAATATGGAAGTATCATTGTGAGATATAAATTCCTCTAAATTTATTATTATCATTAATTTAATTTAAGTTTTATTTTTATGCTTACCAGTATATTATTTAAGAGATTTAAAACATAGTAAATAAATCAGGAACAATTCACCACTTTTTCAAGTATAATGCGGAATCCTATGATATTAAACGATTTGGCAAGCTGACAATTCTATATAATAGAACTTCGACGGCAGCGGAAGATCCGGCCCCGCGCATCCCGCTCTGCTATCGCATAAAGAAAGAGAAACCACACCGATTTGCCCTTAATGGCTTCTTAGCATCGTCTTCCTCCTCAACCCATCTCCTCCGACATTGTGATGCGCGAATCCCTCCCATGGCGAAATGTGAAGTTCTAGCCGGAGCACGGTGGTCGACTTTCTCCCCCTCTGGTTTCCGCCGCAGGCTTCTCGAAGCAATGCTCTGCGGCGCATCAAACCAACCCCGGAGAAAAAGTAAAGAACGCCAATCAGATCGTCTTGCTGATTTACTTGAGGCTGCGGCGATCGATTCGCGGTGCAGGGAAGCAGACGAGAAGAGACGAAAGATGGAAGCTTTCGAGGAATTGCAGAGTGTTGTGCGAAGGCTTCAGGAAACCGAGGAAGGCTTTCATGGTGGCCGAGCAGAAGCTGCGGCGGAGGTGAGGAGGCTTGCGAAGGATAACTCAGATTTTCGGCAGGCTCTCGCGATGCTCGGCGCCATTCCTCCTCTTGTCTCTTTGCTCGATTGCAACGATGCCGATTCGCTCATAGCCGCACTCTACGCGCTTCTGAATCTAGCAGTCGGCAATGAAGCGTAGGTTTTCTAACTTTCAGGCAAAAAGCTTCCACCTTTCCGCTCTTTAAACCATGATGGCGTGATCTGTTGTTCTTCAGGAACAAATCAGCGATTGTGAGAGCGGGAGCTGTTCGGAAGATGGTGTTTTTGATCGAATCAGGGCCGTCACCTGCAGCGACGGATGCAATCATCGCCAATATTCTCGGTCTCAGCGCATTAGACGCGAATAAGCCCATTATCGGAGCTTCTCCAGGCGTGATCCCATTTCTGTTGAACTCTTTACGAAATTCGTCCTCTATCTCCTCCAACCAATCCAAAGATGACGCCTTGCGCGCTCTTTACAACCTCTCGATCTCGCCGGCGAACGGTGCCGCTTTGGTGGAAGCCGGAATCGTTCCCTGCATTCTCGACGCCGTTGTATATGAAACAGAGTTCAGCGAGCGGTCGCTTTCAGTGCTTTCCAACCTCGTCGTTGCTTCGCCAGAGGGCCGGCAAGCTGTAAGCCGCTTCGCCGATGGATTCTCTATCCTCATCGACGTGCTTAACTGGAGCGAATTTCCCAGGTGTCAGGAGAAGGCAGCGTACATTCTGATGGTGATGGTGCACAAATCGCAGGGCGGCGAGAGAGCGGCTATGGTGGCGGCCGGACTTACGTCGGCTTTGCTTGAGCTCGCGCTCATTGGAAGCGCACTGGCTCAGAAGCGCGCCTCACGGATTCTGGAGTTATTGAGGGAGGAGAATGGGAAGCAGGTGATGGTTTCTGAACCTATCAGCGGCGGCTGCAGCGGAGCTCCAGCGAGTTCGGCGACGATGGAGGAGGAGGAGGGGATGAGTGTGGAGATGAGGGAGGTGAGGAAATTGGTGAAGCAGAGCTTGCAGAGTACCATGCGGCGGATTGAACGGAGGGCGAATTTTCCAGCGGAGTTTGCGCCGTCGGATCGATTCAAGGAGCTCACGGTTTCCTCGACGTCGAAGAGCTTGACTTTGTGGTAGTGCTAAAATCCCGATTTTTATGCTTGTCGTGTTCTTATTCATCTTTCTTTCCTTTATTTTTTTTTTTTTCAGAGTTAATATGCCGTTTTGTTTTTTATTGAGAATTTTTTTAAAAAATAATAATTTTTTTAGCATATATATTATTACATGTTCAATTAAATTTTAATTTGCTATCTTTGAATTATTAATTGCTATGTTTAAGTGATATGTGTAATGTTCAAGTGCTTTGATTCTCAACATAAGGTTGTGGTTCGAGTACATTCCGTTTTGAGCCGAGCCACGTGCTTGCTCACTTGTTTTGGGAAAAAATTTGCGTACGTCAAAGTGTACGCAGAGATGCGTACATAATAGGGTACACGGGCGTTATGTGGGAGTTACATGGGGGTTACAAGCGTGTTATAACTTCCTTATAACTTTCGTGTAACTCGGTTATAACCCGCGTTTTTATTTTATCCATTGAGATTACAAGGTTACAGCGGGGTTACACGGGAGTTACACGGGAGGTTATACGGGAGTTACGGGATACAGCGGGGTTACACGGGATTTATACGGGAGTTACACGGGAGGTACAACGGGTTATAACCCCCTTGTAATCCCAGTATAAACCCCGTGTACCTTATTATGTACGTATCTCTGCATATCCCTTGACGTACGCAAGAGAATATTATATATTAAGTCTGCTTGCATGGAGACTCAAATTTCATATGCACTATTATATACATATTATACAGCATTATACAAAACTATTGTACATGCATGCATTGGAGGGATTTGGTCTCGGACAAGAAATTGGGGAATCCATAACATTGACTTAAGAAAAAAACAACAAAAATAACTACCATTTAATTCTAATATTCAATGCACTTGAATCCATAATATTGACTTAAGAAAAAAAAGAATCAATGCACTTGAGGCACAACTCAACTCTGCTCTATTAATATTCAATTATATTTGCTTAAATTAGTAGATTAATAAAAATATATATATATATAATATTTGTGTGTGTGTGTGTATGTGTGTATGTCTGCGCGCGCGCTGCAAGCTGTGACCCATGGGTTGATGGGGTTCACTGTAAGTACCCTCAAGTCACGGGTTCGATCCCAGGCGCGGGCCTCTGAATTATATATATAATCTCAAAGTTTAATGAAATTTAAACATAATTCAACATTCCAACTCATTTTATTGATATTTATGAATAAGCTTATTTTTTATTTAGCAAGTAATTTATTAAATTTTCTATACTTGTATGATATATTAATTGAAAAAAAATTTAATTAATTAAAACTTATTTAATTATACATTTAATTATAATAAAAAATTTCAAATTTTTTTTATTTTTTATTTTTATGAATCAGTACAAAAACTGATAAAAAAATTAACTATTATACTCACTCTTAAAAGAAATATTAAAATTTTGTTACAAAATTTCATCAATCTCCTTTTTTTTTCCGTTCATTTTAGTTTTGAAGATTTATATGCATGCGACTCAATTCTTATGTATTTACATATCTATCACCTATACTTCAATTTTTACATATATACAGCCCAACCTATGTTGAAAAATTGAATTTCACTTTTTTTTTTTTATATATAGTTTAAACAGTGATATATTTGATGTGATAAGATAGATTTTGGTGGTATAAATATAATAATCAAAATTTAGATTTTAGATATATAAATACATATGAATTGGATGGTTTATATGTAAATGTCCCCTTGATTTTTTTTTTACTAATAAACACCTCTTTTATTAGTAAAAAATTAGCCAAGATTGACATAAATTCATTCATTTTAATCACCATAAATTGCGCAGAATGGTGTGAATTACCCGCCAACTCGCTAAAGTCGTGTTTAACTTCTTGGACTCATGCTGAATCAACAATAATTTTAAGGGAATATTTATTCAAATTCAATCCTTTACATCTGAGATTAGTTGTGTTTCTTAAGGCTTAGAAACTGCTTGTCAAGCTGTTGACTTTATTAAGGAATATTGGTGACTTTTTCAAAGCGAGAGTCGGAGAAGGTGAGATGAGCGTGAACATATGCTAAGAACCTTTAATAAGACATAGTGAGAACCACAAAGGCGCAAAAGAGGAAACTTATGTTCGCATTGAGAATTTTAATTTTGTTGTTGGATGATAGCTTGCAGAGATAAAAAAGATGATTGAAAGAGCGAATTTGCCAAGGAGGCGGTTGATTATGTCATATGCTAGTGACATTTCAACCCAGTAACACTATCAATGATGAGACATACTACATAAATTTTGATGTATCTTCATCTATCTCACCTCATTGGATAGATTTATGAGTTGAAAAGAGGAAGTTGTTCTCAACCGATACATTTTTGAAGAAAATTATGAAAAAGAATCCTCCAATGAAATTCAAGAATTCTCACCTTCATTCGTACAAATGAAAAATTGATCTGCCAGATCATGTCATCTACTTTGAATATGCCATTGCTTTGCTTGTTTAATGATGTCTTTACATGTGTGTTTCAAGACACATATTTGTCACTCTATTCGGCCTTTGCCGAGCAATTTGTCCTCCTCGACCGACCCGATCTTTCAGACAATGAGATGGATTTGGTCTCCCCGATGAATGAATGAACTATCTCAACCAAGTTTCACTCTCATAGACCGATCCCGATGGACGAACTGGCAAGTCATACTTACCAGCTTGTTCTCCGTCTTGGCACGCTATCTGATTCTAAGCCTAAATTCAGTCATGATTAAAACTTAGGGGCAATAGAACATCTTATTCTTATATTTTTGGCATAAATCAGCCGGATTGTATGTAAAAATTAAAATTGGATAGTAGTTATATGCAAATTGAGTTGCATTCAATGATATAATGATACGATTTGATTTGAAAATGCACACATTTTATAAAAAAAAAAACAGAACAGAAATAATGCAGCTACATAATTTTAGGATATAAAAAGTATTGGGTAATTTCTGTAGTTTTTTTGTAATTATTTTTTATAATAATTTACTATAGTCATAAAATTTGTATCTACATTGCAAATTTGGAATTGCATGAGTTGCCCTTCAAATATTTAGCACCAAGTAATACCTTTTTTTTTTGTTTTTTTAAGAAAAAAATATATTTTTATTAAAAATTAATTAAAGAAACTCTTAAAGTGCCTAATGGCTTTAGTGATATACTAAGTTGGCTACATGAGAAGGATCTACACTAGTAGTTTTCAAAGGTCAAAATAAGGTAAAAAAATACACTTATGATCAAATTCTTTCTCAATTAAAATAACATCATAATTTATATTTTTACAAACAAACCAATTATTTTTTAGTTATTTTGAAAAAAATAATTATAAATGTTGTTGCTTATGGTCATTTACCACAATCGACCATAAACTACGTTGTGTGTTGACGAACTACCGTCCCCTAGCACCTCTAGCTGCCGCTATCGTTATTGAAAACATTATGTCATCAACCATCCTATTGCTCCCCCGACAACCGTCATTACCACCATATAAATTATTTTATTCAATATTCTATTAAAAAATATAAATACTTTTTATGATGTCAAATATATTTTATTTTAAGTTCAAAATTTAGTAAATAAAAAATATTTATTTATAATAAAAAGAAAATATATAAAATTATGACATTTATCCCTTGGTATTTATGCACCAATTTATTTTAATTATAAAGAAGAAGACTAAATCCAATACCCTAAAAAGGTTCCTTAACTTTACATATAGGGTCTATTGTGGTGGGTAAATTTTTAAAAGGATAATCGTAAAACTAAGTGAAAAAACCAACTTCTTAGAAAGTTACCATGATAATTATATATATATATATATATATTCCAAAATATCAGACAACATCTTTCTCATAATCACCGTAGTCATGTTAAAAAAACAGCTTTCCACCACAAAAATTTCTTTATAACGACAAGAAAGTAGCTTCCCAAACGGAATTATGGTGTCAGTTTGAAGTACAATGCACATAAAAAATTGTCCCAAACAGACTTTTAATATCCCAGAATGATCAGCTTTAAAAACTGCTTTATAATATATATTCTTATAATTGGTGGGATAGTTGGGGCGGGGTGGGCGGAACATAATTAGTGCCATTTCATGGCTAAAAGATATGATAACAGTGTCAGCCGTGATTAATTGTCCTACCCAACTTATCAACTTCTGCTCTAGAATCCACAAATAGTCTCACCTTTTTTTGTTAAAAAATTAAAAATTCTCCAATTGCCCATAACAAAATGAAACATAAAATGAAGATTTGCATACATGCCACACAATTCTTATGTATTTACACATCAAACACCCGAAATTCGATGTAAGGTATCATAAACCTAAGCATGAAAAGTTATATTCACTTTTAGAAAAGTAGAGACCAAGATGTTTTTAATGTGATGTTACAAGTTTGAGTTATATGTGTTGGGTAATGTGGAGACCCGGTCCATCACAATTTAATTAACTGTTGTTAAATAAATTTCTAATTAAGAATCTGACATACTGCTCACATACTTTCTCACCTACTGCTCACCTATCTCATCTCACCTACAGCTCTCACGGTTTCTAGAAATAGTCTCTTATGACTTGTCATAAGCCATAAATAGCCTCTTATTGCTTGTCATAAGTCAAGGCAAGCCAAAGCCAAGCCTCCAAGAGAGGAAGAGAGAGAGAGAGAGAGAGATATAGAGAGAGGAAGGGAGAGAAGAAAATAAAGATCTTCTTGTAAACGTCGATGCGCTCGACCGTGTAATTCTTCGAAGAAATAAAATCCTCTGCAGCTCCGTGGACGTAGGCAAATTTGTCGAACCACGTAAATTTATGTGTCGCTCTGGAGTGTTTTTACGTGCAATTTTTCTCGTTCCATTTTTCATTTTATTGTCGTCGTTTTTCACAACAGTATGCTTGTAAATATAAATTGTTGGGTTTTAAAATTTGAGTTGTATGCATGTAAATATAAATGTTTAGGTTTTAGATTTGTAAAGACATAATAATTATATGGTGCTTGTGTGTAAATACCCCGATGGAGGAAGATTTACGTACATATCACTCAATTCTCATATATTTACATATATAACACTTCAATTTCAA